TATATATTTATATGCATGTATATATAATGCATACACGTATATATAATACATACATGGGCCCTGGGCACTGTTTTGTCATTGTTTCTACACTGACGTTTGTGTGGCCCTGTTTGACATTTCTTTTCTTTTGGGATGATCTAATGCCAGATGACAACGGAAAAGAAAGTTTTAGTGTCACATTGATTATGTCATATTACCAAAGGCCTTAGCAAATCAGAACATTTTTCTTAGGCTTCCAAATTTCTTCCTCTGCTAGAAGTTAACGAAAGACTCAGGAGATGGAAAATCCAGACAAATCGGTATCGATCTGTGACTAACAATTAATTCTCTTCGCACACACCTGTCCAATCAGCTTTCGTTATCTCCACAAAATCGTAAAACTGGGATTTCCTCTCGCCTTATCGGAGACCTGGTGGAAGGATTTCTGTCACTACCACTACTAGCGGTCACTGGTGCAAACCTTCAAGCCGCGCGTGTGATTCGTTTAGCTTTGTGGGCCAGCTAATATTGTTACACAATCGATAAATCCGACGCCATTACCGATGGCAGAGTTACTTTGGTTTACTAATCTTGGAGATACGTCTTCGCGCGTCAAAGGAGATATAGGTGTGAGGGTGGACCGACATTGTACGGGTGGCTAGACATGTTGGGGTTAAGGGTCAATGTCAGTGACTGGAGAGGTGGAGTGGGTTATAGTCGTAAGCAATTATTGTCACTATGCGTTCTTTATTAAGACAATATTATTTCGCTCAGCTTAGTGCCATTATATTATGTCCTTTATGACTAGCAGCCGGTGTCTTCGGGCCAAGCCCATGAGTGTCTTTGTGTGAAGACTTTTTTCTTTTAAAAAATGGGGGGTGGGGGGGGTTAACACCTTTTCTGCTGAGTATATTGTCATGAGCTTTTATTTTGATGATTTAGTCCTTAACAGGAATCAAGTTTGTGAGCGTGTGTATGAGTGTGTGCAGGAGTGAGTGTGAGTGTGTATGTGGACATAGCTCACCCTAC